AACGCAAAAGGCTCATAACCTGTTAAAGTCTGATATACATTAGACCCCAGTACGCTGTAACATAAGCGAGTGTATTGTACCTGATATACATTAGACTACGGGATCATGGTAAGCGTGTGATCTCCGGTATGTTAGTGAGACGAGCTTACCCCCAGTACGCTGTAACATAAGCGAGTGGGGGCGCTATAGCGAGAGACGCTCGTCTTATATATCCCTGAATTCCAAACTGCCCTTCTCTCTTCGTTCACTTCTTTTCCTGCTTCTCCCGTTCTTTTCCCCTTTGCCCATGCTTCTCCCCTCTGCTTCTCTTCTCCCGAAGTCCCCGAACCGTCACCGAAGCGGTGTTATGCCGCACTCCAACAGAGTCAACGTCTTGGGTGGCCGGGCGTCGGTGTAGGGTGGTTGTACGAGGCATTGCATTGCCTTGACCAATATGCTGAGTATAACATTAGTATAGCACTCTGGATAATCATAAGGGTCACTTACACGCAGCGGCGGCGGTGATGGGAACCGGCTAGTGCGAGCTGTGAGATTGTAAGGGGCAGCAGGTGCACGGGTGCTAGTGGCACTTTTCTTCGGCAAGCGAATGTCCTGGCTTTTAAACTACGCAAATATATCGTATAAGATAATCAGTGAAATTTTATTGGTATGTCAAAGATACCACTCACGCTACTCGCACGCAGCTGGTTATCTACACCAAACAAGTTAGGTTGCATGCTCGTATCTATTTATTGGGAGAACGTACTAAGTGTGCCGACAGATGACACCCTTGCAGAGGATCGCTGCTCGCTTTGGGCTGCGACTTTTTCCTGACGACGAGTCTCCTGGCGTTGACGCTCATCATCTGCCATGCTCTTAGTCAAGTGGATTCAGTTCAGAAAGCTCATAATCTTACCTTCCCACTGGGCTCGCTCTGTTTTCTTGCGGTTGCGAGGAGGGAGAGCATCGTGCTCTCCTTCGTCATCAAACTCCATGTCTGAAGTATAATCGTGAGTAGAATACTAATGTGAGGGCAATGATACTGGTACTTACGACGAGTGGAGATTCTGGTGGCCATGGCACTTGCGACTGTCGAGGGGAAAATTTTCAGAGCACGAGAGGTGGTGGGATGAGACAAGGAGAATTCCGGCGGAGTGTGAGCTCGTATCGATGGGCGCCAAACAAACCACGCACACAGACCGTGCATGCGGGAGCAGAGGCTAGGGGCGCAAACGACCAAGTGTTAGCACCCAGCCGCTACTCTAACAAGCTATTTGCCTACCTTGTTCCCGACATGGAGGCCAACATGAAGCCATCTACATCCAAACCTCCCCCCGAATACTGCCCCTTTTGCCTTGCAGGGCCGTTCGCCTCTGAGAAAGCGATGGGAGTCCACATCTCGAAGAAACGTAGCTGTCGTGAAGAACGGGACAACGCCAGGCGCAAGACTAATGCTGGGACTACATCATATCCGTTAACACCACCACCCTCTGAACCGATCCAGCTTCGTCGTGCGCCGCACCCAGAGCTCGATGCCAAGACCCAGTTCGGAGTGTCGCGATGTCGCCGTCCCTCTCCTTCCGAGCCAACTGCGCAATACATTCGTCGTAGGCCCTTCCCTCTGATGCGATTTGGTACGCGGATTCTTTCACAATCTCTGTATTCCACCTCTCCATGTGCTGGTCCCTAAAGACAGGAGAAAGACGCCAAATTTCGGCGGCTTCACGGACATTTGGTGCGTTCTTGAGAACGCCTGCATCCCAACCACGTGACCACTGAAAGATCAGGTACGTAGAATCCATCACGCGGCCTTTCTTCCCAATGAGTGTCATGCCATCGTGCTCTTCAGGGACACAAAAAGCGGTGTAGTGGTCTGGAGACGAGGACTTGAGGTGATCAAGAATAGCTCGGTAGGCGGGATGAGTTTTTGTGAAGCTGTTGACCTTTCGTTCCACGATACTGCATAACCGTCTGGACTTTGTTCTGAGCTCATTGATGACGGCCCAATCTGTATGTGTGCGCTGAGCTCGTATGCGAGTTTGCTCAGCGAGGGTGAGTGATTTAAGCGCTGGATCTGTGAGGCGCCCGCCGAGTCGTACCATGCTATCAGGGGAGATGCCAACATCGATGAGATCTTGTAAGAACTGATCTAAGGCGTGGTTCGTGTAGCAGACGACGACGATCCTCTGACTACTGTTATCGTGTATGATCTTTGCAAGTAACGCGCCAATGAAAGACTTCCCGGTACCTGGTCGCAGATATTAGATTTTGCCAAAAATCATTAGAATATTCATGATTACCGGGCGGGCCCTGGATGAGTGCGACACGTTGAGTCAAACCAGCAACCAATGAAGCTGCCTGATGGCTGTCCAAACGAACGGACTTCGACGTTTTAAGGAGTCGCCGCAAGTCGCGAGAGGGGTTTGCCTGAATCTCATTTGCGATTTTCTCCGCGTACGTATTTGGGTGCTGCGTAGGGTCACCTTTTTTCCAGAACACAAGTTCGTTTGAGAAGGGTACTTCCTGAATGCGCTGCAAAGCCCTCAACACCGGCTCGAAAGCGAAGAAAGCAGTGTCTACGGAGAGGATTTGAACACTGCGGGCGAGGCGGAGCTTGATGAGAGTATGAACAACCGTTGCCTCACCCTCAAGCTGTAGGATGATATGGGGTGGCTTGCGTGCGAGGAGCTCCTCGTCACGATAGACGGTGGAGAGAGAGACCGGTTGTCCATTGACAATAATGCATGCAAGTGACTGACGTCGAAGTATCTTGCTTCCTGCAGGATGGTCTTGGAGAAAGCTGCGTCTGTCCCTGTCTGAGATTTTATAGGAATGAAACTGATGGAGGTCTTGAGTGCATCTGAAGACGAGCGCCCAACGAAGACGCCGGTCGACGTTCCCGGTGAAGGTGCCGGCAAGATGGACAAAAGTACTGAAAGCACGATGCTTGCGCTGCTTTTCTCCTCTCGCTGCGCTAAGCTCTTCGCGGACGTCGTAGATAAGGTCATCACGATTGAGCCGAAATTGGTTATCGATATAGTGAGCGAGTCGCGTAGTAACTGTTGCTGGATCTTCGAGCTCTGCACTCCTGCGGAGGAAAGGGTCCTTCTGACACGCGATCTCCTGTGGGGTGGGAAGGATGGTTATCTTGCGGAAGTCTGCAAAGTCATTGTCGTGCCGACCGCCCGGCCCCTCCTCGTAGTCCTCCGGTACGTCTGTATCGTATGTAGAGAGAATGTGGCGGATTTTGTGGGATATGGACTTGACGTCCTGGACGGTTGAATCGCTGAACCGCTCAAGAATACCGGGCTCCTTGGCTAGATCGCGGTAGCTCGCTGCCTGGTCACCCGATGTGGTTATCAGGTGGAGAAGCAGCTGAGCGAACCCGATCTCGGCTTGTTCCGCAAGGAGCCCACGCCTGAACAACTGGACGAGGGAAGGCCAGAGGAGTGGCGCTCCAATAATCCTGCCGACGACCTTGTTGAGGATGTCGCCCCCACTGAGCTGCTTCAGTGTAGGGTCTCCAAAAAGGTACGTAAGTAGGGCCGCGCCGTGATTGTTAAGGAACTGAGGGGAGACATCAAATGACATGGCAGATTGAATGTTTTCGAGAGCTTGGGGGTCAGAAACGAGTTTACCGAGGCACACAACGGGGTCGGGCTGAGCGCAGACGGCCTCGAGGAACTGGCGAGAAGTGTTTGGGTTTATCTTGAGCTTCCCGAGCACTGTCTGATTGAAGAACTTGTTGAGTTTGTCTTTTCTATCCATAGCTGGAATACTGAGAGGCGAGAGAGCTGATTTTTGATTACGGCGTTGAGTGTAAAGATCGGTTGAGGGAAGAGGCAAGAGCTCACGCAAACTCCTACGCAGCGACGAGCGCTCAAGCACTCGAGCGCGGAAGCTGTAGAACCTGGCCGAACTTTCGAAGAAACCTTTGAATGGTTCTTAATCCCAAGCTGTACGTCGCACAATGGAAATCAAGGGTCCCTGTCCCAAGACACGCTGCATGCCAACAACGGCATTCTCTTATCTCGTCAAATCGTAACCTATCAGAACAGGATTCAGGATCAGCCACGCTAAACTTAGCTTAGGAGAAGATAAGGCACTTACATAACTGACAAACCGAGCACCTTTCGAGTCTTTAACTTGGACCCTTGAGGTCACCTACCCTCTTAAGACTCGCCTGAAGCTGTATGAACAAGTGTCCTTCAGCACTAGACAATTGCTACCTACACGCGGCGAGGAGGCTGTGAACGATCATCGCCCTTCCATTGTAGAGTTTGGGACACACCATGAAAAGCGGATGAGCCTGCCCGTTTCGACGCCGCGAGACATCTAGAACCACAATTGACGCTGCGGATTTGCTGCGGATGGCTGCGGATGTGGGGGTGAGGTCAGCGGGACACATATCAGCGTCTGATGCTGACATATTGTGAGATAGCGCAAAGACACAAGTTTTCAAAAGATGAACACAGTAGAGCTTGATTCAAGCATTCCGGGAACTACGTAAATAAGAACTGTATAGCCTCGTTGTTGGTTTGTTGTAACGTGTAAACAGAAAACATATGCTGCCACATTCGGAGTAAGCCGGCGGACTTCAGAATATTACCCATATTTTCAACATTTACCCCTGATTTTGTTTGATTGTTGCATATAGTTGGCTCAGACGTGGGCCGCGATTAATCGTATCTACAAGCAGATGGTTGGCTTTTGTTTGCCGTTGCTTGGTTGCAGACTCCTGTGCTCTTCACAGCACCCCCACTCGCTGCTCCGAAAGATTGAATACAGGACCGGGGAAATGACCCAAATCACACTTCCGCACCCGTTTACGAACCGATGTTAAATGTGGGCCGCGTCAGCTCATGCCCACAAGACGACGGGATCGACCAGTTTGCTGAAGCAGAATTGTTCGAGTGCGAATTGTATTGAATAGTAGAATACATTGACCAATCGGAACGTGCGCTGGTGTCCCCTCTATCGATGCATTTTCAAGATCCAGAACTCTATGTCCCCTAACGGCCAAATGTATTCTCTAGACAATTTCCCGAGATGTTAAGCCCTTGGGCTTTTTCATCTATAAGAGCGGGCCAATTGTCGCCCAAATCTTCCAGTCCCTCATCATCACCCCTCCCCTTGCCTTCCTCTTCCTCGCCCCTAATAATCATGCGAGTTGTAGTATCCCCACGCACGAGGGCATCATCGTTGATAGGAACGAGAATTATCGCCAGGTCAGGGCAAGCGAGTCCGCCAAGACGCCCGCAGAGCTCGCACTATTTCTCCGGCCTGACCGGCGCGTCATGATAAGCTCATCGCAAGTATACAAAGTGGCGCGCTGATGCGCCATTGCTATTGACCTGTTAATGTATTGTGGTACAGAAATGATATAGTATTCCCCTCCATTGCCGTCTAAATGCCGAAGGGTAGCGGAGGCGTGTCTTGTCTGCCATGACTAGACAGCAAAGCAGGCGTCGATGTTGAACGTTGAACTCTTGCTTTGAACTGGACTCGAGTCGGAGGATCGAGTACCTGATGATCATGATGACACAATTTGCTGCTCCATCGCAAGAACATGGTTGGGAGAGGAGTGAGTGATCCTGCTTGCTTGCTTGCTTGTCGCAGCTCAATCATGTGCGGGTCGCCGACGTTCAGACTACTATCAGCTCGTCACAGGTGGAAATGCACAAGTAGCGAAGGCTAGATGCGCGCGCAAATGAGGCTACAAGCTGAACTGTCACTGGTAGGCCGCCACGATACGTTGTCGCTAAACTGCCCACTGAGCTCCAGTGAGCAGGCTGTAGTAGGGTCCTGCTGTAGTCACCCGTGAATTGACGCTTGAGCTATAGACGTTGCCAAATGTTTCCCCGCGGCGGGTTACCCTCAAACGTTTGGACTTGCACCCTCATCTGGCAGAGTCGGGCATATGATGATCTCGAGCGCTTCTTAGGTGCCCCAAAATCAGTGAATTGCACTCCCCACTCAGCAACGAAGTCTCGGCATCACGACAAAGTGAAGACGATGAACACATGGCTGACCTTGTATTGAAGTTGCGGTGGAGTGATGTCATATGCACATGTCGGCTATCATCTGGGGAAGTAGTAACGGAAGTCATCAAAGTGCTCAGTGATCTATCCGCTCCACGCTCATACACCCGACCTCAGTCTGGATTTCACCCTCTCTCCGCATCCCTGTGCTCGCGCTCACAACGCTTGTGTTGTGGACACAACAGGGGCGGTACTCTAAACTCCTAAACAGCTCCAAAACTTCGGAGGGGTCGGAGGTAGGCGGAACGGAGCAGAGCGTAGGAGCGTAGAAGCGTAGGCGTACAAGTGGCCGAAACCACAAGGCTAGGTGATGGAGGATCTCAACGAGTGCCGGCGGTGAGCACGAAAGCACTAGTCCCAATGACCAAGTCAATAAAGCATGCTATCTACTACAAAGTGAATGCGCACCTAGTCCCAATGACCAAGAGGTCGAGATGGGGGACTAGGATGCGAACTGCTCAGTATATAAACAACTCCCGCAATCTTCAGATCCTGATCATGCTACCGATAACCATCTGCTGTCACGGAGGTAGTACAGCGCTGCTGTCAAGCATCCGCATGGTCTGCATAAAGTCCGAATGTTGTCAGGAGTAATGCTCAAAGGGAAACATAAGAGGTCCGAGGTAACTCCAGACGTGGAGCAAACTCCGAAATCTTCGGAGGGTCCAAAGGTGTCCGAAGGCGTGCGGAGATGACCGGAGGTGCGCAGACCTGGCTCTAAGTGTGAAAAGGAGAGAGAGGAGGAAAGAGAAAAGAAAGAAAAGAATAGGGGCCTTGGTCGTCTTCACAACAGCTTGCCCACTTGTCCAGGCTCTCTTGGGGTCTGTGCTGGCAGTCAACTGCGGTCGCGTGCACTGCCAGGCTCTCTGTTTCTTGAGGTTCTCAGGGAGTGGGGATCATTACAACTTTTGGCCTCGACTTGTCGACATTCATGCAGGACGTGCTCCCCAACCTTGTTTAGAGCGTCAACGGAAGAGGCTGCTCTTGCAGGATTGAACTCGGAATGTAGATCAGGGGAAAACTCTGACAGAAAATGACTCTGGGGAAAGCGTCCTGTGCCTCGGGATGTCTCCATATGGTTGGTAGACACTCGTCCATCGCATCCGCTCCAAACTTTCTTGGCCAAGCCGTACTTCATGTCTTGGCTCTAAGGCCAAGCCACCATGCCAGCAATGACCAGTTGCTCAGCGCTTGCCGAAGAGACCGACAAGAGGTCTTTAGACACAAGCTGGCCGATAGTCGAAGAGGTATAAAAAGAGGCCCAAACATCCTCCAAAATTCATCCCCAGTCCACTCGACTTCTCGCACTCAGCTTCAGCTCAGTCCCAGACCACTGCACTCAACAACCAATATGATGAAGACCGCCATCGTCGCTTCTGCCCTTGCCCTTGCCTCGACCTCGATGGCCCGCAAGGTCACCGTCACGAACTCCTGCTCTTACACCATCTGGCCCGGCGTATGTTCAAAATTCTTGCGGATTTACTTACGCAGCACTCACCTAATTCTTCTCAGCTATACACCGGCTCTGGTGACAAGCCCACCCAGTTGACGGGCTGGCAGGCCGACCCCGGCAACACCGTCACCTTCGACGTGGGTTTCATGCCTTTATTCCGTCGCCCTGAACTACATTCTGATATCTTCAATTTCAGGTACCCGATAACTGGACCGCCGGTCGCATCTGGGGTCGTCGCGAGTGCGACTTTAGCACCAAACCAGGCCCCAACTCCTGTGTTGACGGGGGCTGCAATGGCGGCCTCGAGTGCACCGACCCCGGTGTCCCGCCCGCCACCCTCGCGGAGTTCACGCTGAATGCCAACAACAATGACTATTACGATGTATCCCTCGTCGACGGCTTCAACATTCCCATGGCCATCACCAACACTGGCAGCTGCAGTGTCGCCTCCTGCCCCGCTGACCTCAATGCTAACTGTACGTATTCTCTCCGTTTCTCAATGTCATGTCGCGTTTTTAACCCCTCTTTCGCCATTAGGCCCCGACGACATCAAGGGCCCCAAAGACTCGCAGGGCAACGTCGTCGGCTACAACTCGGCCTGCAATGCCAACCTCGACGGCAACCCACAGGACTCGGCCAACTGCTGCTCCGGCTCGCACAACACCGCAGACACGTGTCCCTCATCTGGCGTTGCACACTACAACTACTTCAAATCCAACTGCCCGAACTTGTATGTGTATGCCTACAACAAGTCCTCCGGCACCGCTCTCTGGATGTGCGCGTACAACTCGGCGACCGACTACACCATCACCTTCTGCCCTTCCTCGTAAATTGGCCACGCTCACGTGTGTTAGGAAGATGATGGTTCCGTCAAGTTATAGCAATGTGTAAAGCTTCTCTCACCACGGTGACAATGTACATACCTGGGTGTCATGTTTATACCAAGACCACCATGTAACACGGAACGTAAATCAGGACATCCATGATATTGAATGTCTTTCCCGTCTTATCTCCCTGAAGTCCGATTCTTGTGCAAAATCTTTTGCTAATATCGCACCTGCAAATGTTCTGGGATAGAGGTTCAGCGAACAAATTCTGTAATGATACCTACAACCTATATGTGCACTACATTCCTCATGCATTGAGATATATACAAGAATGAACGGTATAAACCCTTTTCCTGACTTTGATAGATAGCTGTAGCTTCCCTGATCATCATTAACATATTTTCCTTGTACATTCGTGGCCTTGATGATCATCGTCAGCCTTGTCTGGTTATTTTGCCTTACGGTTAACAAGGTTTCACTAAAAGGAGAGGGGGGGACCGGTCACTTATCGTGTGCCGTCTCGAGACTACAGTATAACCATAGAGCAAGACTCACATCGGCGCTCGGTTGAGTCTCAAATATCCTCTTGACATGCTTGACCTGCTTCTTGATCCTGTCTGAGACAGCAGACCAATCTGGAAGTGGCTCCTTAATGCTGTCAGAGACCCGGACAGCTGCCAACAAATAATAATACACCTGCTTGTATTTCTTCGTACCCAAGGCAGCTGCAGAGAGCTTGTTCAGCACTACCACGAGAATCTGTCTCGTTTTAGTTGCTTCCTCTGTGGCGTACTCACCCCCTGTGAGATCATCAAAAGTGACCAAAGCCGCGGCAAGCTCTCCGGCACTCGCCCAAACGAATCTGGCTTGTACACTGGCTATTGGCCCATGTTTCCCAGTAATCTTTTCCGCCTTCTCCATGGCACTCTGGACTCTGACAGTTGCGATGTCTAGGAAGCATGAGATAACATCTGGATGGGTTATTTGATGGAGTTGGGCGATAGACGTGGTGGAGGATAGCCTGGCAGGAGCCTTTCGCAACGATTGGACGCCCTTCAGAGCATTCCTCTGAGCCAAGGCAACCAGTAGCCGGGCATATGCCGTGGGTCCGATCACCTTCTCGGAGGCCACGTAGTACGGTTTGATGTCCTGCTCGTAGTTATCTTGCAGATAAGTCCAGGATGGTCGTAAGCAGATTTCTCCTTCCCATGTATCTTGAGGGTTTTGGCTTGCACAATACGCCATAGGTAGCAGGGAATAGATGTCAACATTTCTGACACCTATTGCATCGGCTCCATGAGTCAGCATCGTAATAACGCGAAGTAGGGAAACTCGAGATTGGGCTGTCGACAGAGGCTTAGTGTTGTAGCGACTTTTGCCAAGTAATTGGTACTAACCGGATGTTATTGCAAGATCCATATTTAATTCTTTCTCGTCGATCGGGAAGTTCTCTTCGCTAAAAAGCAGGCGAGCGCTGATGATACTCCTGTAAAATGTGAGCGCTTCAGTAAGGTTTATCAGACCACACGTCTTCGCTACCCTGTACGTACTGGTTTCTCTTCTCGAGATCTTCTGCATCCGGCTCAGTTCTGATCCATCCCTGTATGATTAGATCGCTCCAGTCTTTGCGCGACGTGAGAACCTGCATGGACTGGAGTAGTGCCTTCCAATCTTTTTCATTCATCGATTGCTCGTCTGGCGCTGAGATTCCGGGGACCAGCATGGAGGAGGGCCACCGGAAGAAAGCGGCTAGGTTAATCATAGCTTTGTACGTGACCGTACCCTCCGGGTTACAATGAGGTGGTTCAATCAGTATGCACTCCAGTAGTAAATCGATTACGGGTGGTTTCTGCTTGAGAACATCAAGGTAGTACCTCGGAGATGGCTGCGCGTTCATTACCATGAGTTCACGGGCAGTATCAAGTACACCATCTTGCAACTCGCCGAGAAGGCGGTTAGTCATGAGAATCTGGGATTGCTCGTCCTTGTTCCACGGGTCGTTTTCGTCCAAATTTAGCAGGAAATACTGCCACAAAGTCTCTGGGTTAGTCAGTTGGTCTGAAATTGCCTTCGGATCCTGGAGCGCAAGCGTATACAGAGCCCTTAAGATATCGGCGGCGGTGCGAGGTGATAGCCTCTTTGGTAGAGTGGTATTAGATGCCAAACCAACCAGAAGCTCCACTGCCTTCCAGCGAAAGTGCAGCACCCGGTGGCTCATCATCTGAATAGTTGAGGTAAGCGACTGAAGACTGGGCACCAATGTCTAGCTACTCGCCCGCAAACATGATTGAATGATGTCTGCATTCATGAGCTTATCTAAAAGCTGCTCTCTCTCGCGGAAGGTGCCATAGTGAGACAACTTGACCAGTATTTGCCAGGCCTTCCACTGGTTCACATGGCCGTATATCTGGGAAGACTCGGATTCCGCGGTAAAGCTTTCGTAGGGAATCCGTATGAACTGGAGCATGACGTCAACAACCCCAGCATGAATGCAGGCATGGGTGAGTGGGTTGTGTGGTGCTTCATGTTTGCCGATAGCTAGCTGCTCGTTGGGCTCGTTTGCGATATCCGCCCCCAGGGCAAGCTAATGCTCAGTGAGATGATTAGAAGTTGATAAAGTTCATGAGGCCGTGGTCATGTACCATAGCATCAGAGACATATTCGCTGCTCGGATGAAGACTTATCAGCTTTCCGAAAACGTTGAATAGGCCTTGGGACAGCTGGGGTTCAGGAGTGCTACATCACCTCCTGTGAGTGTGTTGCATCAAATGCGGTCCTCTCTGGCACACGGTGATGCATTACCACTTGTTCCCCTTTTAGGACGTGTCCTGAGCTCCCTTCGCATTAAACGCTCACCTTCCTAATTGGTCAGCTGATGCATCCGAGGTCTGGCCTGTTTTGGTGGCGGGTGTCTCGTCACTGCAGGCAATAACTACAGATCACGATTGGGTTAACCCCGTATGTATCATACATAGTGCCCTATACGTTAGCAGTGAGAGTATTTGTAGTATGTCTCAGTACACTATTCCCCCGAGAGGTCTGAGTGGGGCGGTGGACATCCTGTTGAGGGCGTCTGACTGACAAACACGACAATTAGTGCAATGCAAGCGCCCCGACCAAAAACGGCCGCTTTGATTGATGCAAGGCAGTTAACTGCCAAGTTCGTACGGGCCTCTATGCAAGAGTCAATATCCCATTATGTGTCGTATTTGCGGTGCAACAGCACCCCTGCATTTGGCTCATGTTGTGATGCAAGTGCAATAACAATCCAAGCAGGGCCCAGTTCATCATGTTTGCATTCGATAGAAGTATGGTATATTGTCAGCGATAATACAGTACATACAATCCGGCTTATATTCTACATATCGTGCGCGCGTGCATGTGTGTGGGCAGCCGTGCGCGCGGGCGCGTGTACATGCGCGTGATCGGTGCACGCTGCGTGTCCGCTGCCACGTATTTGCACCCGCAGAGCGGGGTTGTGCGCGGGTGCCTTTCGGCACGGCGGGCTACAGACAGCCTTGCCGTTGTGCTCGCGGCCGACTTGTGGAGAATATGCCTTATCCAGAGCACATGTCCATCAGAGCCGGCCGCGAGCGGCGTAGCGTGTCCTGAGGGTTATAACCGGGGCGTGGTTGTTGCGGAACGGGGCACCTGCGCCCACCTCCGGAAGCGGCGTGGTAGCCGTAGTGGAAGAAGAGAGCGGCACGCGCGCGTTCACTAATATAAGCGGAGTCTGAAATTCACAACCAAGCGGGGCCAAATAGATGCACGTGCGGCCGCGTCATTCTGTCGGTCGTCCAACATGGCCACGATCAGAGCCACAAGTAAATAATAAGCTAATATTTCAATCTAAAACTAAGCAGAAAAATGTCATAGAGTTATTTGCTCGAAAAGCGCGCGTTTAGACTGATGTTGCGACATAGACAAGCACAAGGTTTTTTTTATTACAGTTTCAATGTCGTGTTGCATGCAAGGTCGATGTGTCTACCGTGACTATAGCCAACATCCCCACAAGCAAGAAAAGTTAGCTGCAATTGACCTACGCAGAGCAGCTTGCCAATAGCCATATGCAGCCAAACCCTCCGAGTCCGCATCCAATATACTATTGGAGTTTGCGAGAGACTGCTCTACACGCTCTTCCCACCAGGTTGCTTGCCACTCGAGGAACCGTAGGACGCGGTGCATCTCCTCTCGTAAAAGCTCTTTTTCCTCCGACCACCGGTGAGCTCGAGCACGAGCCTTACACCACTCCACCCGTAACTCTGACAATTATGTTACTTAGCGTGAAATGGTGTGACAGTGAGCCAGGAAACTCACCATCCTGAAGTTGTGCGTCATCCTCCCTATCGCTAACATCTCCTGCAAATCCCACCCGCCAGATCCACGAGATTGTACGCCGACCCTCGGACTCCAAGCTCCAGAGGTTACCCAAGGGAGCAACATCGTCTTTCTTGAGCGGGCGAATGTCGGCAGGTATCACTTGACGGCAATGAGACTTCAGAGATAGGAGAGCGGTATAGGCTGCTTTGTAGGTACTGGAAATGGCCTGAATCTTCGCTTCATTGTCTTCGATGACCTTGTTGTGGCGAGTATGTTGGAGTTGACCACGTAAGTTCTTGTCCTTGTACTTGTGAAGCCACACCTTGTATCGAAGAGATGAGTGTAGTCGGGCAAGAGCATCATGGGCCTGCGCTACACGCAGGTCCCACTCGATCGAGTAGAACCGAGGTGGATACGAGTAAGGCTTTGGAAGCGAGGAAGGAAGATAAAGCGAGGCCATGTCGGGGCGAGCATCGGAAAGAACGGCGTTATCGGACTGGAGGCGAAGAGAAGAGGCGATAGGGACAAAAATAGACTGGGCTGCAAACCACGGGTTCAGCTTCAGCTGAAGAGCGTTCAATCGTTGCTGAAGTGATGCCCGTTGAGTGTCTTCAGTGTGTTGCCCCAAGCTGGTTCGATGAGAGCGTAGGCGACATCTATGATGAGAGCCATTAGAATAGGTATAGGATTGAAAGATGATAGGCAGTAAGCCACTTACTGTAGTTCGTCTAGCTCAATACCGGTGTTAACTAGCGAACCAGGCGTGATCTCAAGATGAATGGCAGAGCCTGGGTCTTTGGCGAGCTCTCGGGCATCGTCCCGAGCGATTTTCAGACGCGTTGAAGGCAAAGTAGGAGCTTTGAGAACGTGTCAGCAGGTTAATTAATGTAAGGACATTGATACCACTTACGTTGAACCTTCTCCTCGAATGGATTGGGGCTGGTGTGGTCACTTTCCCAAGCCTCTACTTCGCCCGTCCAGCTTGCGATAGTTTCCTTCGGGAAATTGGCCTCCATGTCCTCCAGTTTCGAACTATGCACTGCGGACTGCTTGACGGCCTCTTTCATCCTTCGCTTGAAGAGTGGGCCTAGACCAACAAGCTTTTTCCAGTTCCAGTCGCCGAAAAAGGCATCTAGAGTATCACGACGATTTCCGGGTCCCATCTCCTTGGTACTTGATGCCACTGGGTTGATATTTGCCCAGCCGCGCTCGACAGCTTCTCCGTCCGTTCGCCCAACTCCCGGAGTGAAGTTAAACGAGAAGTTGATCTGGCACTTGGGAATATGGGCGCCTAAGTGGAACTTCGGAACAAGGAACCGGAATTCACGTTCTGAGGGATCGAAACGAAAATCCGGGGGAAGGCGAGGGACACGACTCCAGAGATTTATCCACCATTGACAGGCAACATCGTAAGAGATATTGAACCTGCGCACGAGACTGCCTCGAATGCTCGAGAATTTCAGATAGTCCATAATTGCGTACCTGGAAGACGCTCAGGATATGTTACCACTATATCATCAAAGACTCACTTTTCTCCTTTCAAAACATCGCCACATCCACACGGCATCTTCATGCCATGACGAGCACAGTCGATGGTAGCAAGACCAGTAGCCGCTAACCCGCTAGCAGCCTTGGTATTTGCCATGTTGACCGCTTTGTGGCTAGCACATGTACTTTTCTATGGCGAAGTCAGAACAATCCCACGAAATTGAAATTAATAAACCACTCACGTCTTGCGGTTCCTCAACATGAACTGATAGAAACTCCTTATAATGTTTCTCCTTGACCATGTACGTGATTCCATCGCCAAGACTAGGATCTGTGTCTTCTGAAGATACCTTCCTTCGCTTCAAGCGGAAGTTGGCGTCCATTGCGAGAAATAAGCCGTGAAGCCATCTTAAATACAGAAGTGTTAGATAGATGAAACTATGACCACAAGGAAAACCGTACCGCTTTGCCTTTGGCGCTTTCTCCCAGTAGGGTGGCATGTTTTTCCCCGGCTGCGGACAGGCAGGACACAAGACGGCACATGCGCCTTCAGGTGTTTCGTCCAGCGGTGTATCAACATGATGACCCCTGCCTGAGCGCTTGAGCATTTTCAGATGCCTCCATTCGCGGACCATTCGCATGAAAGGCTCATAGCGGTCCTATTACAGAAACGCGTGAATATTTGTGGCTGCTCCAAGAAATGCGACAGAATGGTAGTGACTCACCTTGATTGGCACAAGCCCCGTATTATCTGATCTTCTGGCGAGCGCATGGTAAGCTTCGTATGCTGAGGCCTTGGACTCGAAAGAGAGGAGTTGAAACTCTTCAAGAATACGGAAGGTTGCTGCCGTTTTTGGATTATTGACAGTGGCGGGGAAGAGTCTTGCTCGAAGAAGTTGGCGATACTTGGATGCGGCTGTCTCACACCCACAGTAATCAAGCCCAATCTCATGGATCCCGTGGCTGTCTATGACGACAAAGTCATCATCAAAACAGCGAACAGGATTAATGCATGTGGTTCCTGGCCCGTGACCCAGTTGCAATCGTAAACCCAGGCGCTTGAGAGTTGTACGCTCGAAAGATTGGCCATTCCAGTACTAAGTAGTGCCCTGTTAGTAGCGATTTTTGCAGGTGAAGTTAGGCTTACTTTTATGCGATGGAATGGACTGGTTTCATGCTTTTGTACGAGACAGTCGCTGCATACCATAGCACCCATCAGACAGTCCTCACAGCGGTAGAGGGGGCGTTGAGAGCTGCACCAAGCACATGTCGTGCTATTCTTGAAGTCTCCACGGCCGTCATGACGGAGGAGTTCGTGAAGGTATTGAAGACGAAATTTCTTCCAGTACGAAAGAGGCGAATCCTAGTAAAAACATCAGAAAATTCCAATAGAAACCACTGAGCATTCTCACCGCTGCTGTTCGACGCCGAGAAGGTTTATCTAAGCCTTCGACCAGCTCCTCAGGCTCTGCATCAGCAGGTGTTTGGGACAACATTGGGTGCGCCTCAGCAGTATGTGCGTTGTCACAGCTGGCGTTAACCTCTGTATCCAGATCCAGATCGTAGTTGTCTGCAGGAAGAATACCTGCATATTCGTTGTCCGAAAGCTCGGCAGGTGAAGGTCCGGGAAGGGTGACCGTTGAAGTGGTAAGTGTTGTTATTCCATCATAATTGACGGACATGGAATAGGTCTGATGTACAATATCGCTCTTCTTCTTCTTCTTCAATGCTGCATCAGCAGCATGTTGAACAGCGGTGGTAGCCTTTTTTGCCACTCGTTCGAGCTTTCTGGAGAGGAGGAGGCCTGGCCATTTTATGAGTCCATTTGAAGAGAAAAGAGAACACGGATGCATGTTTTACTCACCAGTTCCAGGAGGACCAGAACCAGAACCTCCCCGTAGACGTGTGGCGAGGTTGAACGAGGGCATGGGCTAATGCCCAACAGTATCGACGAGCACTCGTAGGGTGTGTAGTTACGTGGGAGCAAGAGAGTATGTTTTGGAAAATACAAGGATGTGAGCATATACAACACGTTCAAGGCGGCAAATTGGAGCCCTGCTGGAGGAGGGTCAGACGCTATGCGTATTCTGCAGTGTGGCCGCACCTAGGTTTGGTCATTGGGCATGCTAATTCCACGACTGCTTTGCTTCGTTTTTTCCCCCCAGTATTTGGTCTTTGCATCTAGGCCTGGTCCAGGCCTACCAGACAGGGTAAGCCACGAGACTGATGAGGCGTAGTTCAGTTTTGAAAGAAGCGCGGAGCTTTGATGCATGTGGGACGGTGATTTCAACGTTTAGAGCTATTATGCGACTATTATAGTCATCACTTACGAGTTTGGATTCTTTGAGTTCGGGAAATGTCGAGACTCATCCATACAAGTAATAGAGAAGGGGAAGTCAAGAAGGCTGTCTGTATGCTCGAGAGATATGCTCTATAAAGAGATTGTAAGTCTAAATAGGTGTAGATTTTCCGAGTGAAATCATGTAATACAAGAATTGACCTTCGCTGATAGGAAGCCCATATGCTGAAAGCCGCAATGCAAAGGTACGTGCACTCTCAAATTCCTGGACATCAACTCTCGGCCATGCCTCACCTGGTAAGTAGGCATCGTGACCACGGAAAAGCTGGTTGGCAACCTCCATCTCGTCGACGATATCACAGATGATCTTGACGGAATCCTTATCGAAGCCAAGGGAGCGAATCGTGTAGTCGGTGTACACTCCAAGGGAAGCCCGCAGCTCAGCGGTTTCTAGATCGTCAGGTAGTACCTGATTCGAGGTCCCAATGATGCCTTGAAGATTCCGAATATGTGTGTACGCGATCGGAGCGGGATCGTAGATAACTCTTGGTGAAGAAGGTGTCGCCAAATGTGGGGATCGGGGCTCCATATGGGCAGGTACAGCTCGCCGTGATGGTGTGGAAGCTAAGACAATGTTAGGTAAAGATAAGCCAAATCCATCTCAATGACTCACGCGTGGCCGCAGTTTTGGTCCTTGGGATGGAGAGGATGGGCTGGGCCTGCGAGCTCGATGGTTCTGTGATAGTGAGAGTTCCGATCTCATGGGATATTGCATCTACTGCGGCTCAAATCAGATCATGGCATGTTAGATCAGTAAGTGGTGTACCTGTGGTTATCTTATCTCCGACAAAATCGTCAGGCAGGAGCGACTCAATTCCCTTTGCTACTATGTACAGCAGTGCATCGCGAAAGGTTGAGGTCATGACACCATTGGGAAAGCGCATGCCGTTCATTTGTTCAAGTGCCTCCTCCCTGGCTGGACGTCAGTCACTGAGTACTGAGATCCAAGACCTCATATCAAAGATATCACGCTCACTGCTTCACAAACACACCCACCCGTGTCCCTACTGCAACTGCATAGAAGGGTTTTCGATATGTCAAAAGCTGCCGGATAGAAGCATCCTTGCAAATCACGTCGAGAAGTTGGCGCGTGCTCGGTGTTGGGCCAAGCGGCCTGATGACACTTTTGAGAAAACACATAATGTCCACTGCTTCTTGATGCGTCCATCCTTGGACGGCCACAGGAAGTGGGGGAGAGTCGCGCCCACATGCTAACCACGGGCTGCGAACAATGTATCAGCTGGAAATATCAAATTCTGACTCGTGCGGCTGACCAATCTTTCTTGACCTCTGCCAGCCTTCCGCCAATGACGGCCCAGTGAGGGTTATACAAAGTCGGGTCGCCGGGAGCCATGAGGGCTCAGAAGTGAGAATTGCACAGATACAAGGGGGATTATGGCCACTTTATACTTGAGAGCGACGATACAGGCTTCGATTACATCTGTCCCGTGATGATTGAGAGCACAATGCCCATTGATGAACATAGTATGAGAGCTGAAATAACGGGCTGATAGCATGTATCAATAATAGCTTGCCATATACTAGGAAACAGGTTGCGCCACATCAGACCAAGTCCCCTTGTATTCACGCGAAATTACAAGTCATGGGGTCAGAACTTTCACTTTCAAAGGCACATCAATACCCCAGAGTAGCTCAAAGCTGTGTGAATATCAGTGACAGCATATAACATCTTATGATATCTCGATTTATAGGCAGTGATGCAATACAACAAGCTAGCGTTCGTACACAAATGCGCAACTACTGTTCTCAGACAGATCAATGAGGTGATGCAGCGCGAGTCGGAGGTGGAGTGGGTGCAACAGGGAGAGACGATGTTAGCATACTAATACGTCTAAAGGGAGTCAAATTCTGGCGAACTCTGGCTACGTGGCAATATTGTATGTGTGCAATGGAGTTGCGACGAAAACGCCTACGCCGAGAGTGGGGTCCATAAGGCCCATAGTTGCAAGGAGGGCAGTAGGTAGGGTCGCCGGTATGACGGAAGTGGGCATAGCTCTCCATCCAGTGGCGCAAGAGCTGAAAAGGAACGTTGGTGCCCTGCGGTCTCGGCAAAGAAACAAGCGAACATGGACTTACAACAACCTCGAATGCGACTGCCTCTGACCATTCCTGCGGTGTAACTCCTGTCCTCGGCACCGGCCAGCGCGAGAGCCAAATACGCTCAAGTTCGTCAAAAAAATCGACTAAGCACCGCCCGCTAGATCGACACTTGGCCGCCAAGTAGCGCCAATACATGCTTTTAAGAAACGAGTCCTGCGTGGGCGAAGTCCAACTGGTAAACTGAGTAAAACATAAGTGTATTTTCGGCGCAGATTAGAGTATCACAGGTTTACTTGCCATTTCGTCAGTGGGACTGGGGACTTGGTGGATATGGCGCAACAGGGGATCGGCTGCACCAGACGTCACTGTCACGAAATTTATCAGAGGCGGGGTAAAAAAGCGAACGGCCATTTACCCTCTTTTGGCACTAAATGGGCTCGCATGGTCCTGCCCAGATGCAGAAACCCTAGACGTTGAGGATCACGTCAAGAAGCAGAATCGGATTGTGGCGCTGCTACACACGTTTTTTCACACACGCTCCGTAACAAGAAGAACTACTTCTCCACCGGGAGGGACCTTGGCTTCTGCTGCGCAATGGAAGGCACTTAGATTAGATTTGATTCAATGAAGAGCGAGCAGATTGCTCGGTTCCCGTTCAGTCGTATGTTTCTGACATCAAGTTCGCATAAAAGTACTACAAAAGTCGCATCGACCTTGAGTAAATGTGTTCTGTCCTGCTCAGGTCAAATTTTATCGGAGTCATATGGTATATAGATTCTACCCTATTGAATATTCAATGGGGTTCATGTATAATCAAGACCTGGGAATATTTGCGATACCCTTTGAAAACAGCTTAACAACCGCTTCAAGTGAATACTGTTACTTGCGTGTTTGTGGGGTTGTGGTATCACTATCGATGTTACTTACGTGTTTGCGGGGTTGGGGTATAATGCACAATGTATTCAGCTTGCCTCTAGTATGCTATTCTGTGTAAGTATATAGGCGGGCCCAGTGTACGCGTGCTCAATTCAGTGGTCATAAAAGTCCTATAAAAGTCGCATCGCGTGAGCCTGAATTTAACGCCTGTTCACCTATTGCCCCGTTCGCGTAGTCACCGTCATCCCACCACTCTGACCCTATCAATACTGACCCACTCATATCCACATATCTCTATCCTTCTTATCAAATGGGTCGCCCTAAAAAGTACCACACTGATGAAGAATTAAAAGCGGCACGACGCCAATGTAAGGCTGACTATTATGCGAGGTATGTTTACATGTCATAACACCTGAAATCACTCGTGGAGGTCGTATTTCAGGAATCGTGAGGGTATCAAGGCCAAGGCCAAGCAAAAGCGACAAAATCAGCGTCCTAGGTCTCGGACCAACAATCACCATACTTCCTCTAGTGTGTATACAAGACTTGCTCATGGGTGCGATTCGTGCTGCTTGTACACTTGTATCATTGATGGTTGATCACGCCTTTGGCTTCCCTTAGGAGAGCTCACACAATGCCATGCACGTTGCTGCCAGAGGATCTGAATATTGAAGGCAGTGCTAGTGCTATGAGTGATCCACGAGCATTGGCTGAGAAGCTGTACGAATCTGCCTTATGATGTGTGTCTTTGAAGCCTAACAATTGATTATAGGTACGAGCAAGAGCTGTCTGATAGTCTGTACGCTATGGTTCTATGATGTTGCAACAATCGAGCCTGGCTGACAAGCATTCACAGAAATGAATACGCGCTGTTGTTCGAGTTGTATGTACATTACATCGACTTTCAATCAGTATCACGCCCGTTATTAACCTAAGCAGGTCGTCCCTTGAAGCAGGAGCACATTCTCGTTCTTGGATAAACACTTCTCCAGATAACTGCTCGGATCCTTGTGCAGGCATTACAATGCTTCTCACTGCCGCCGAACAGGTTTGTGTTATTTTTACTGGCTCATAGACGCTCTGAAAACCACTATCACTACGCTAGCTCTCTAAACCCTCTTCTGCCAGCATTGGAGGCAACATGAACGTGTCTCGAAGTGTGTCTCCGGGCGCTAGCCGGGTCCGGATTTCTGACACTTCTTCGAGCATTCGCGTCGGCGAGATAACTCCAGTTTGTTCCCCTATGGATTCCCCAACTCCTCTTTTGCCCTTTGGCTCACGTCATTTTTAGGGCCTAGATCGTCCGGCAGAGCCAGTTCACAGTCCCGTTATAGGCGTAAATGTCTTGCAACGTCCACGGCATCTGGTTTCAGCCTGGGCTGACAGAATTCGTGCAAATCTGCTGTCTCTCTTCAATGGGAATATCAGTGTCTGCATGCAGAAGCTTTGTCACGACTTTATCACCGCTGACTCTGAAGCCGATGGTCGGGTCGCTCTTGATAAGGTCTTCGATATTCATACACGCATTGCTGGGGTTCTTGATGAAGCTAGAGAACTTCGATACTATGTAGAGCAAGCCAAAAGGGTCAGCATCGCCGAGCGGAAGGTGCAGGAATGGGTGATAGAGCAGATCACTGACATGAATAGAGCTGTCGAAGAAGTGATGGGTACGATGGCATTTGAATCTGCTTCAGCCCTTGCAGAAATGCGAGACCGCGGAGCTCTCTTGTATCAAAGACGCGCTCTGTAGTAGATCTTCTGTTTATCTTGAATTGACACTGTTCAAATTTTTGTCAGCTCGTTTTGATCATAGCACCAACGCCCGATCCCAACGCGCGCAACTAAAACAGTGTCAAACAATAAACCATCAGTGATTGTTGATTGTTTTTGTCTCAGCTTAAAGATAAAGAGACTTAGAGACCGTGCAGCACCAGTCCTTGACCTTTCCTGACATTCGCAATTTGATTCCGACTTCCTCTGCCGCCAAGTCTGCCACCATTCTGTGTCGTACCTTAGCTTTGCTAGCACTCGCAGTTTTCCCCGCCACATTTTCCGGTGTGTAACCTATTGTCTCATGCGTCGGTATGGTTCTCACGTCCGCAGATGGAGTCCTTTATGCAGGTGATTGACTTCGCCAATGACGATGCGACCTTATTCGCGCATACGAAGAAGAGGGGCCGAAAGCCTAAAAACTCCGGTCTGGCGCCACCACCTGCCGCTTCTGAACATGCCGCGGCAGCTGCACCATGCGCTGATAGCTCCGACGGCGACACTGACGCTGACGAGTCTGACGAGTCTGACTCAGACGCTCCCCGTACTAAGCGCTGGACTATGCCCGATCAGCTGGCGTTCCTCACAGCCCGCTCCGACACCTACATTGGACATGTCCGCGACGAAACCACAGACGACTTTTGGCCCGAAATCTATGGTGAATGGTTTGTGGAGTTTCCTGAACGTCCACGTGGCCTCCGCCATCTCGAGCTGTCCAAGATGAACGAGAAGCAGCGCCGCATATACCGCAAGGCTGTAGTGAAACGCAAGAAGGTACATTTTGATCTATTCTCGTGTGCACAGCCGTATTCTAACTCATCTACAATCCCTACAGCAACTGCATACATGGTTCCGTTGGCACACAAAGCCAGAGCTGACTGCCTCACGCGCCATTCACAAGTCATCCACTCTCCTCGACAACATCATCATCCCTCGTACACGCGTTCATACCAATGTCGAGATCTATACTCGACTCTTCTACGACGACAGAGTTGGACCAAGCCTTCTGAAGGATCCCGACTACCCTGGCCCCGCCGACAACAACCACCTCCAGTTTGTTCGAAAGCACGTGGCCGCGCTGCTAGAACGAGACAAGGACGACCCTCTTGTGAAGGAGAAGATCGCAGGCCATAGGGAGGCCGCGGCAGAGTTTAAAGCGAAGAAAGAAGCTGGGGAGCCGTTAGAGGACGAGTTGGAGCTCATCACAACGTACGTACAATTACTCATTCTGACTCCATGGGCAGATGTTGAACGTGTCTTACAGCCTAGCCAGGAATATGCCGGGATCTATCAAAGAGATCCTGACACTTTCTTCACAGAAGATTGCTGGCGGTCGGTCTACTGGCCTCTGCGCCTCTGTCATCATGGGTGTTCGCGACCCTATGAGTGGTCGCATGACTGTAGGCAGGTACATTATGGGGCGCTTTCGGAGATGATTGATGATACCTGTACTCACGCAATATCCAGCATCCACGTCGGTACCACGCCCGACAACAAGAGCTTTGGCCACGTCTCAGCGCTTTGGGATCAGATGGAGAAGGAATATGATACGTGGGCAGAGACAGCGACGCGTAAGTGCCCAAGCTTTTCACAGTCAATGGTGACACTGATAGCTGACCTTGGATTTATAGCACCAAAGCCCCTGTTCATTCAACATGCCTCAACGAGTCGAGGTGGCGACAACAGTACCAAGAAGGGAGTGGGGAAGGCTGAAGGCGACAACGAGAGTGGGCGAGGTGGGGAAGAAGGCACAGTCCAGAGTGCCACTCTTTATACTTTACCGACAGATGAATTCAGCGGTAAGTTGTTGCATCGTTGTTTATGCCCTTTTCTAAGTCATGTCACCACTTGCAACAGATGATGTTTCCGCATCCGGAAATGGTACGTATTGCATCATCCTCAGCTAGACGCACTGCTCACTAGCACTTCCCGATCTCAGCGTCAGCGTCACAAGGTTCGCCACAGTGATGCAAAATACCATTTTAGGCTAATTCCGTGATGCATCACTTATAGCTTCTGGCCCCCTCGAGCTCCCGAGCCGTAAGTGATGCAACCTCCCATTGTCTCAATTTGGACTCATTTCGCATTGCAACAGGACCTCTGTCTTCACCCACCTTTCCCGAGCATGGTGATGCCCCTCTCGCGCTCCCGAGCCGTAAGTGATGCAACCTCCCATTATCTCGATTCGTACTCATTCCGCGTTGCATCAGAACCTTCGACTTCCCCTCCTTTTCCCGAACATGGAGACTGCAATGTGTTGCTAGGTAAGTGTTACATCATTATTTCTTCCTCATTTGTTAAATCGTGTTGCATTACGATTTTCAGCACCCATTTTGGGCTTTGTTGGCGAACATATGCCACTCAGAGGTACGCTTTGTTTACATCGGTGGTATTCATTTATGCTAAACTAAGGTTTGTCCTAGATGAAGCGGCCCAGCCTGCTAATGACACTTCTATGATCCAAGGTAAACCCCAGCGAATGGGTTTTGTCATTCCACCCAAGGCTTACGCTAGCCACTCAGGGTCTACGGCTTCAGTCACCGGGTCTACCGGATCAACGGACCCGTCATTAGGCACAATCGAAGGTAGGGATGTTGGCATGATAATGCTTGTTTCGCCGCTAATGTCTACTCTACAGACTTTGACTGGTCCTGGATGGAGGGCATTGACTGGTCCAGCGTCAGCCAAGATGCCAATCCCTTATCCAGCAATCAACCATCGACGTCTCCACTGAATACTCTATGGACAGAACAGTCGCATATTCTGGTAGGCGCTCGCCGTACACGAGTTAGTGACTAGAACCTGATTTTCTCTCGTAGGCACAGCCAAACTCGACAACATCTCTGGTTTCCGCGGTCTCATCAATTGCGACTTCGGAACCATTATTTCCACTCGGAGAAGGCTTGGCCTCTTATCCACCAGCCAGTGCTGCGTACTCGCAAATACCATTCACACATCCCGAAATCTCTCCGTCGCATGGGCAAACGGGCACTACATACTCCGAGCTGCCGTTCGCACATGGGGAAGCCTTCACGCCCTACTTGCAGACTGGTGATCCTTACTCGCAGATGATGCAGACCCCCTTGATCCACCAGCAGAACATGTCACCTCTCCAAGACACATCCAATTTCAACTCGAACGCGCCAAATTCCTACGGTTTACAGACCTCTCAAGCTCTCGGATTCGGATTCGAACCTGTCCTTGCACCCTATCCCTCGTTTGAGGGCTTGCCTGTCCACGCTCCATCCCCTGTCCTACCTCACCCCCAGCATTCACCAGATTCAACCGGAGTGTCGCATTCATCACCGCTAGGCTCGCTCAATCCCTCTACGATCCATGTCTCCATCACACAGGAGCCGCAGATCCGCCATTCCACTTCCCAAATGCAGCACCTTGAGCCGGCTCACGAGACTTCGCGGGTCAACGACCCCATTGATCTGGCTGATGCCTCAACAGCAGTCGACACGCGTGAGGGCAATGACTCGATCAACATTCCCGAGGCAGAGGCCATACTGGGCGGCTCCACTCGCACGCGGTCAGGGCGAACTTCCAAGCCTAGCCTCCGCCGTACCAAAGATAACGAGATTGGAGCCAATGCTCGTCCGCCCCAGGATGGCGAAAATGTCATGGGGAGTAAGCGCCGCGCCGGAGAAAATCAACCTGGAGGAGCCAAGAAGTATGTACGCGTTGTCTTCTCTCCTGACTTTGTACTGACGATGCTTCAGGAAGGTAAAAAGGGGCTGATTTGAGCCCCGCTTGCTTGGTGGATCTTAGTTTGTTGGGTTCCGCTATTTTTGATGTTGTTATCGACGAGTTCAAGCAGAGCTCATTTCACTGTATGTATATAAAAGATCTCGGCTATGTACCTACTTGAGAGAACTCGAGTGTGCTCGTCAATAGACTGTTTGCTCGAGTTTACTAGTCACCCAAACCGAAATTTCTAAGTTCAAAACACGCAATCAGCACATACAAGTATGCAACTTCGACTGAGCAAAACTAACATGTGAAACACGAGGCGATATGGGGTGAAGGCTTGAATACGGATAAGATTCTACATACTACCTAGTAAACCTGGAGAGAAAAGAATGGAGCGACGTGACGTGTTTCAAGTATACCGCCCTTATATATATGTTCTCCGCACACGTCTGTTCTGTTGACCGTGATGCAAGCCGATTTCTCCCTGTTTAGGCAGCAGCATTTTGTGTTGCATCACGCGTATATACCACACGTGGACGAGACTTTGCATCCGCACGTACGCTTATTTTGGCCTTAAGGGTGTTGCATTGAACTTAGACAATCAGGGAACAGGTTGATGCATCACATATATACACCCAATATGGACGCTGCAATGCATCACCAATCCTCGCAGCGGACTGACCTAGAAATGGCAGGAATTGTTATGCATCTTGCCGAATCCTGTCCCGATTCAGACGAACGTGATGCATCACCACCTACAAGCATCCAAAAACGGACCACCCCGCGTATGATGCATCAAATTCTGCTCAGACTTGCCCGGTGGATGATGCAACAAAACGACTGGGGCGCCTCAGTGCTAAAGAGCTGCCTAAACTCTTCGACGGAAACTGGGGTTGAATCTGTATCCATCTCGTTGGTGTGGCTGCTGTAACCTCACATGCCCCTAGATAGACACGTATCGAAGTAAACCAAAAGTAAATGAAGCCAAAGGGCAGCATACCTAGACTCGTCTTTGGATCTGATATTGTTCGATGCAAGTTCGATGGCAATGTTTGCCAACAACTTGAACATCGCGCAAGGCGGCACTCCCACGCGGGTGCGAACGGCCACGTGATAAGGGACATAGAGCTGAGGAGTGCATCCGCTTGCCGCGGACCGTCGTCATGGCTGGCTTCTTCTCATCCGTATTCTCCTGGTTCTCTAGGTCAGCCCTCCGTTCTCTCCAGCAAGCCCCAAGCATCATTTCTGACACATGAAACAGCATTTTCTTCTCCAAGGCTGCAGAGATATCCGTGGTCGGCCTCCAGGTACGTTCATAACCCTATGCAGCGAGCGACCTACGCGAAATATAGCCGAGGGGTTCCCATTCGAGTCTTATGATCGTATTGACGTACGCTCGTAGGCTTCAGGGAAGACTTCGTTCGTCAATGTCATTGGATCTGGACAGGTATGTTGTCCCTCGTGCATGTCGCTCAATCCCAATCGAAACGCTGACACCGCCTCATCCGCAGTGGAGTGAGGATGTAGTACCCACCGTCGCGTTCAACTATCGGAAAGTCCGTAAAGGAAACGTCACGCTCAAGATTTGGGACGTCGCTGGTTAGTACCTCAGCTGCTCAGCTTGGTGTCTGAATATCATGTGCTCGTTATTCGCCCTCAGGTCAACCCAAGTTTCGGTCAATGTGGGAACGGTATTGCAATGGAGTGGACGCTGTCATGTGAGTTATACCCCTTCCGCCTTTCTTTTCTACTATCTGAAGAGGACGCAGTTTTGTGGTAGACTCAGCAGACGTGAGTCACCTCTACCTTTACCTTATTTCATGCGATTCATATACCCCTTCGCCCGCCGACATAGCCGGAAAAGTTTGGCACAGCCCGGTTTGAGCTCCATCAACTCCTATCGCAGCCTAGTCTAGTGGGAGTACCTTTGCTCGTTGTGCGTCATCTATCCGGGTATTCGTCCATGTTGGCTTCACTAACGAGGATCTGCAGCTCGGAAACAAGAACGACATAGACGGACATACATCCGTCAAAGAACTGATATCCGTTCTGTATGTCTGGAATGTGTTTGAATGCATGAACGAGTTCTGATGATGCCCCTTTTCCCACTCCAGGGAACTCCAAAAGATTCAGGGTCGCGCAGTTTCAGTGAGTACTCCAAACTCGATGTCTCTAGACGCTCCTCTTACTAGGCGCTCGCGATAGTGTTACTCGGTATGTCTTGCATCACGACAACAAGATCGTAGCTCATCTGATGTCCATGATCTAGTGCTCAATGAAGAGTCAAAACAACCTGTAAGCAATTTCTGTTTTCGTAATCTGACTCGCTCACATCTTGTGCAGCGACATTGTTCTCCGTTGGCTCGCAGATCGCAGCCACTAATGTCTACACCATATATCTCGCTGTAATCTTTTGTATCAACAATACACACTTATACATGGCCCATCGTGGGTTTCCCAGAGCATTGTCATAACGCGTTGATAGTCGCCACACGTCTAATCTCACTGTAACGCCCACCTACACTAGCAAAATGCGAATCTCCTCAACGTGCGCAGAGCTCATCCTGAAGTACGAGTTTCCCTTGGTCTCCTCAGAGTCGGTTCAAGGGTTAGTTGTAGCCTGTATCCATTTCGCGTCGTTCGCCATCTTGCTCAATCCGGTGCTACAGCACATTGGTTTACGAGCAAATTTGGTGTCAAGCAAGTGAGAGTGCGGAGATATTCAGCACTATCCTTCGTAGTAAGGACAATGTAAAGATTGAAAGCGATCGTAGTGTCAAATCTACGCACCGATGACATCGTACAGGTTCTCGAGCTTGGTCGCGCCGACAATAGGAGCAGTGACGCGTTGACGGCTTGGCCAGGGTCCATACGGTGGTGATCTGGCTCGTGCTCACGCCATGCTTCTTCGCGACTTCTCCCACTCTTCATGATTTCATATTTAGTGAGGAGACAAAGGATTTCTGCGTACGCAGGCTTACCTGTCCAACATCTTCTGGTACGGCTCGGAGCGGCCATAAGTCACCTGAAACTTGACCGCCTCCGTACGCTTAGTCTGCGTACCGCGAAGGCGGCAAAGAAGACCTCGGGCGAACAGTGTCATTCGATCGTACATACTTCGCGAGCTCACTATGCAAGGCAAAGCGCTCGATTGTGCCTCGTCACGAACGATCGCGAGAGTGCACCCCGCACTCTTCACTTGCAAGTGGCTTCTCGAGACGTCACGCGGAGTCGTATGCGTGGTCCCATTCCACGGGTAAGAAGGGACAAGAAGCACAACGTCCGGCCCCGGATCGCGCTCGAGCCCGCGAATCAGCGTCGCACAAGCGACGGCCCATTCAGTCGTCTTGCAGTGGGTCAGGCTGTTGATGAGATGACCATCGACCCATGTGGTTAGACCAAGGACACATCGTGGCTAAGATGTTGCCTGTACAAGGACAAGCACAAAATCCATGCGTCTCTGAGCCCATGCATGACGCAGCGCTCGTCGCAGGTGTTTTGCAAAAATCATATTTGGCCCTCGTTTCGAGGCGTTGGAGGTGGGGATCGTGGGACGTCGGAGTGGATGGTACGGGTGCGGGAGCTGTGATTCTGATAGCACATGGTTCCGGAATCGCATGGGAGGTCCAGATAGGGGCTCTCCGATCTCAGCGCTTCAGCTCCGAGCCCGCGCTCGAAAGACTCGAAGGCATGTCACTGAGAAAGAGACCGTGAGTGTTCGAGCGGCGCGGCCTGTTATCTCGGAGAGCAAACACTTGCTTACAACGAGCGAGAGAAAGAAAAGATCGACGGCGGCAGGAGTCCTGGACCTTATCTAATCGTTAGTTCTCGGCGCGCATTCGGACTCTCGGCACCTATCCAGAAGACACAGTGCGCAAAGCAGAGATTGCAAGAATAGTAAGGTTATTACGGTCACTAGCATTCCCTAGACGGTGGCTCAGTTGGATGGTCAGGCAGGCCGTTTCTTTCAGCGCTCGGCGAGGTGTATTGCGCCGTCGGACTGAGCAAGTAGCAGGACCCCGCGCACTGAGCGCTCATTTCCTTGTCTGCGATCGAGAAACTATCGAAAGCAAGGTTTGTGCCATGATGGGAATTGCCAGCGAAATACCGGGATGTCGCAGCGTCAGAGTCGGAGCTGGAATTGATATGTCATGGGCCAATGTGGAGGCTGGGAGACTGAGTTCGGTTGCGTTGCGTGGTGTTGCGCTGTCCAGCTGGCAAAGCGATAACGTTTAAACACAGGCCAGCGGTGGGATGACCCTCGACGTAAATGAAGTTGGAGGTGAGGAGAGGTGAGGAGACGAAAAAGTTTGGTCGGCCAGTCTCTGGCAAGGCACGGGAGGCATTTGCAAAGACCAATTCCAGTCGAGGGCAAGACAGGCTAAGACAGGACGTGATCCAGGAAAGGCCAAGGGTCGTGTGAGGTTTATCAGTGAATCTGAGATGCAGAAGGGGCAAGCTAAACGTTCGCGGAGTTTCGCTTGTTGCAATGATCACTTCTTCTTGTCATGACTTCGCAACCATCCTCCATCTGACACTGCCCCGACCCGGCGACGTGGTAGTTGATATGATATGTTTTCGTGCTTTCGGTGAAGAGAATGTGGTCTGCCCTCCCCGTTTTCTGCATAGGTTCAACCTCCTACGGGTTAGATAGGCCGTACGGGCGGCTCAGTGTGCCAACGAGGCGATTGTTGTGAACCTCATGATCTAGGCACATCTGACCCCGGACTCCATTCCGACCATATGCAACCAACGGCCTGTCAAATCCCCCCGTCAGAGAATTGATCTCCCGGAAGGGACCAGGGCCCGCCTGGCAATAAAACACCTCCTTCTCCCATCACTCTCTCGTTGCTCACCTCCCTCCTCCTCCTGCCAACCTCCTCCCCCACCATGTCGCACACCGACGAGGAGAAACCCTTTGACGGCAGCTCCGCTGCTGCCTCTCAGGAGGTCTTCGAGCGTCCCAAGGGATGGCGCGGCTTCTACTCCCATCCCACCACCCAGGTCTCCCTCCTGGGCTTCGTATGCTTCATGTGTCCCGGCATGTACAACGCCCTCACCGGTCTCGGTGGTGGTGGTCAGGTTGACCCCCAGGTCAACGCCAACGCGACTGCCGCTCTCTACTCCACATTTGCCTTCTTCGCGTTCTTCTCCGGGTGAGTCGCCGATTACGTCGCTCAACGCATGGTGCCGTTGCTGACGCCTCTCCCACGACCACTCTAGAACCGTCAACAACAAGCTCGGCGCTAGGCTCACTCTCATGCTCGGTACCTGGGGCTACACGCTCTACGTCGGCGCTTACCTGTGAGTTTCCCTACGCTCCCTCTCCCCTTGTCTACCCTACCAATAGTATTACTCACCCATCAAATCTTCTTGATAGCGCGTACAACATCCACCCTAACGCTGGCGGCTTCGTCATCGCTGCAGGCGCCATCCTTGGTGTCTGCGCATCCCTGCTCTGGACCGCGCAAGGCTCGCTCATGATGGGCTATCCGACCGAGTCCCAGAAGGGAATGTACATCTCCATCTTCTGGGCCATCTTCAACCTCGGCGGCGTCGTCGGCTCCGCCGTCGCGTTCGGCTCCAACTTCGAGTCTGAGGCCAACGGCGTCGGCAACGGCACGTACATAGGATTCCTCATTCTCACCCTCATCGGCGTCGTCCTCCCGCTCGCGATGGTTGACCCTGACAAGATGATCCGCACGGACGGCACGCGGGTGCTGAGAGTCAGCCACCCATCGTGGACGGTCGAGTTCAAGAGTCTCTTCGTCGCGCTCTTCAGCGACCCCTGGATTCTCCTCCTCTTCCCCATGTTCTTCGCGTCGAACTACTTCTACACCTGGCGTAAGCTCTGTTTCTCCTTCGGATAATCCTCGGGAAAATGCTAACAATGTAAAATTGGGATAATGTAGAGTTCAACGATTACAACGGCGCGCTGTTCAACATCCGCGCCCGCGGTCTGAACAACTTCGTCTACTGGACGTCGCAGATCTTCGGCTCGTGGATGATCGGCTACATCGTGCTCGACTCGCAGCGGTTGCGCCGGCGCACGCGTGCCATCATCGGCTGGGGGATCGTGTTCGCGCTCGTGTTCGTCGTGCACGGCTGGGCGTACACCTACCAGCGCACGTACACGCGCGCCCAAGAGGCGGAGGTGGGCGCGCCCAAGATGGACATCTACGACAAGGAGTACCCCGCGCACGTGTGGCTCATGATCTTCTACGGTCTCCTCGACTCGATGTGGCAGACCAATGTGTACTGGCTTATGGGCGCCATGTCGAACGACCCGAGCAAGCTCGCTGTGTTCACCGGATTCTGTGCGTCTAGCCCCTTTTTTTCCGTGTGTGTGTATGGAGCGAGTCGCTGACGAGCGCCACTTTCCCGTCTACAGACAAGTCGATCCAGTCCGCTGGTGCAGCTGGCGCGTGGCGCGCTGACGGTGTCGGTCTCCCGTACATGAACATCTTCGCGTCGACCTGGGCGCTCTCCGCGGCGGGCTTGCTCTTCGCGCTGCCCATGATCTTCATGCGCGTCAAGGACCACACCGAGGACGAGGACGAGACCCTCCAGCACGTGCCCCAGGGGCACTAAGCTAACGCGCTCCTTACGCTTAGCGTCTCAGCGCATAGGCCTTGTGGGCCGGTGCTTGTTTACTTTTGAGTGAGGGGAGGTGGTGCTGGTTAGGTTAGGTTAGGTAGGTAGGGGTGCACGGACGGTTCGGGCGCATACGATATAGTGTGTACTGGACGGTGCACGGAATAATTCAGTTTTTCTTCTTCTTGTCTTTTGCTGCTTTTCGTTCGCTTCGCTTCGATACCTTGGGTGTACTGTTGTAGTACTTTGGGACTTTCAAGCGTCTTCCTGCTCTTGCTCTTTTGTGCTTGTGCGATGTTGTCAGTGACTTTGAAGAGGCTCGTTTTTACCGAACATGTTTTGATGAGAATGTTTCTATGGTGCGGTATTCTCACCCGCCGAGTGGCGGTCAACGTCGACACGTTCCAGCGCATCCATGCTCAACAACGTTCTGGTGCTCTTCCCAGTCGCCGTTCAGGGCCTTCCACCGCCTCCGTCTGAACCTGCGTCAAAGGCCAGCTCACCCCGTATATCGTATTGTGGCAACCGGGGTCCGCTCCTCTCGCACTGAAATGCTGGCATCTTGTCTGGGGACCGCTGCGAGACACACGCAGTCACTCAACATATTGCACGTAACGTTGTACAGTCGAATCTGCACGCGAACAAAGTGCGAGCGACGTTCCTGATCCAGGAACGTGTGCGGTATTTCAGGAGCGTTCATTAACGGGCCGGGGAGGACGAAGGCCAGAAGCGGTCGACGCTGGTGCAGTGCCGTACTGCACGGGTCGGATGCTGGGCCGGGTGATCCTAGAGTAGAGTTGGGGTTTGATCCCAATGTTTTCATACCACTTGAGCCAGTATCTGTGTCGACTCGGTGATGTGTGAAAAGACTGCGCTGTGCTTTAGGTTTGATGTTTGATGCTCGATGTGAGTCGTGTGGCCCGCCTGCCTTGGCTTGTCGCGAGCGCCCCTGGCCGAAGAATCGGCGAGGACGTGAACGAACGGAACGTCGGCATGCGTGCGATGGACGAGGCGTGGGGACGGGAGATAAGCATACGCATAAGCATTCAAGCTCAAGGGTTCTAAGTGGTGTGCGTGGGCATGTGGCGAGTTATTAATGCTAGTGTATGTAGAAAACTGCGGGAGCATCTTATAATACTATATTGATGCGGAGGTGTCCTTTGGGTGCACACGACTCAAGACTCGGGGGCTTGAGTGCGTGTTCGAAATGAGATGAGGTAGTGGGTATTGTTCCTATGTTGAGTGGTGAGTGGTATTCGTTAGGACGTAGTGTGCCTTGATACGGTATGTTCAGGCGTGATTGCACAATAGTATGAGCCCAGGTAGCCCCTGGCGGGCCAGGCCGACTGGACGTCGGAGTGCTTCCGACGGATGATCGATGAAGCTTAAGACGGATGCTGAGGCGCTGACGGACAGTATAACTTCGCGCGTGTCGTCTCGCCGATACGGTTTCCGCCTCTAGCTTCAAATTCGTCGGCCCATCGACACCGTGCAATGTTCGGTGACATTGTCAAGTCACCGTCCGCTTCGACGTTCCTGTCTTCTTGCAACGAGGCCAACTTCTATTGAGCGATCTGGGTGTTGATGACAAGGTTTTAGAACCATGCGTAGGTGACTCGATACATTTATGTGGAGGTGAGGTTCATTTCCGTCGAGGTGCTGCTTATGTTATAGTTGTCTCACCTGGCCTTTGTGACAAAGTTAGGCCATCAGAGAGAAGACCGTCGGTCGTTCTGCGCGTGTGCGTCGACATTGTGATCAGCTCAGTCTCGTGTTAGCCCCTGTACGAGTCGGCTCCTTGGTGATGATGCGACCATTGTAAGGTCTTGGTCACTGCGGGGCATAGAGGTCCACTAGCGATGAAACTAAGCTGGCCAGAAAGTGTGTGTGTGTGGACGCGTCGACGGACCGCGTCTGGTGGCGGGCGCCGGATAATTATAAGCTTTCGGGCAGTGTCCGTGGCTGCAGCCTTCTCACCTCCAATTCGGCCTCGACCTCGGCCTCATCGATCATCCTCAGGCTCCCATAGTACGCATGACCAGATCTAATTGCACCACAGGCGACGCCGGTGCACAAATTTTACTATCGATGCCCCCCCGTGAAACAATGTACCCCCTGTGAAACATCGCAGATATTCGAGCATATCTCGTCCATCCCCCAATCAATGCTCACGATTATTTTTCTGTACACTGTTCACACCCTAGTCTATAGCATAGTCGAAGCTCAGCAGTAGAAGATCAGAACTGGGTGTTGTACAGCTCGACAAACCGTTCTAAGTTGCATTGCTCAAAACTCATTCTCTCCAGCACCTGATCAAATATACCTCGTTTACTTTGGGTTTTTGGTGTATGTTAGAAACATATGCCTATTGTTCGCAGTACGAATTGTGCACATTGATGTTTAGTTGCCCGCGTTTCAGCAGCGTTGAGATTTTGAGCTTGAAAGACAGGGGCTCAATCGTGACAAAAGTGTGATGGAGTAGCACAGCGGCACGCGTCGGCATGAAGTCATTCAACTATCAAAACGTCGTGACCAATGTGACATAGTCGGTATGGTCACAGGTTTCCACAGTGAGGGTAGAGTCACAGGATCGGCATCCCGCTGGCATCTCTTCCAGGCTTCGAGAAAGTATGCAGAAAAATTGAAAGCTACGGAAGACGCTGAATTACATGAACACTAAGTTTTCAGAGGTAATTAGCTAGATGCAAGGTAAAGGGAAAAAACACAAAACGGAGGTGTTTCACAGGGGGTACATTGTTTCACAGGGGGGGCATCGATAGTACCTACCGCGCACCACACCAAGTTCTCGCTGGCTTTCGGCAGGGAGCGGGTCGGCCGATATAAGTATTGTAGCCTCTCGGGGTATATGCGTCCGGGCACCCCGCTTGCTACTGGCTCCAGTTCCAGCGCTCCAACGTTAGAGCTAGAGGGTGACTCGTCACTTGGACACTCGCTCGCACCGCCGCACACTGCTTCTCGTGTGCGTCGACATCGACTTCCGGTGCGCTCGGGGTGACTACCAGGCTGTTCGTTGCTCGAGCGAACGTTGACGGTTTCACGGCCAGGTCTATCTCCCTCGCGCGAGACTGACTTCTGCTCGTGACGGTATGTGCATCATCCCGCGGACCTCTGTTCAACTGATGTACGTCCTCCAGGACTAATCCTAACTGACGAAAATCGACAAAGTTTCATCAAAACGTTATCTACTTCTTCTGCATTCTATCACCGCACACGCATATATCCCCGCGCATCTATACCACGCCCTACCGCCTCCTAATCCCTTACCAAAACCACATCAAACGATGGTCCTCGAAGGCATCGACGTCGAAAAGCGACACAACCCCTCCACATCGCTCAGCAACCCCTACAACACCACACACCCCGACGACGGCGACACCACCTCCACCTCGTCCGCCTACCCGCCCTACCCGTCTGCCGCAAAGGGCAAGAAACGGTCTCACGGAGCACCGGAGGTGTTCGCGCGCCCGCCGGGGTGGCGCGGCGCGTACGCGCACCCGGCGACGCAGGTGGCGATGCTCGGCGTCGTGTGCTTCATGTGCCCGGGCATGTTCAATGCGCTCACGGGCCTCGGCGGGGGCGGGCAGGTGGATACGACGGTGAGCGCGAATTCGACGGCGGCGCTGTATGCGACGTATGCGTTTTTTGGGTTTTTTTCTGGGTGAGTGGGGTTTTGGTTGGGTGTGGGGGAGTGGGTGTGGGGAGGCGTGTGTGGGGGGTGGTGTGGTGGGATGGGATGGGATGGGATGGGATGGGGTGAGGAGAAGGGGTGGTGTCGGCGCGGTGTTGGAACGGAATGGAGACGGCGTGGTTGTCGGCGATCGTGAGGCCTCCACGCGTTTACTAGCGGAGGTGACGTCGAGGAAGGATGCTAACGAAGGCTACGCAATGCAGATCGATCAACAACAAGCTCGGCGCGAAGCTCACGCTCCTGCTCGGCTCGTGGGGCTACGCGCTGTACATCTCGTCATACCTGTACGTACCGACCCCTCGTCTCCATTCCTTCACCCTTCACCCCTCACCCCTCACCCTCACCCCACACCACCGCCCCCAAACTAACCACACCACACAACAGCGTCGTGAACATCCACCCCGGCGCAGGCGACTACGTCATCGTCGCCGGCGCGATCCTCGGCGTGTGCGCGTCGCTGCTGTGGACCGCGCAGGGCGCGATGATGATGGCGTACCCGACCGAAGCGCAGAAGGGGCTGTACATCGGGATATTCTGGACGATCTTCAACGTCGGCGGTGTTGTGGGCGCTGCGGTGGCGTTTGGGCAGAATTTTAGGGCGAGTGAGAGTGAGAGTGTTATTGTTTGGCGTTCTCCTTGGCACATTGGACTGCAAACGATTGAGCTGAGACGTGCTTTGCGTTCAGACTGATGGAGGTGAGAAGGATTGACATGGATGTATATGAAGGCTTACCCGTGTTTGCCGTCGCAGTCGGTAACGGGACCTACGTGCGTATTTCGCCCCTCCCCGTCTCCCAGCTCCCCTGACCAAGCCCGCCAGATCGGCTTTCTCGTGCTGAGCACCATCGGGGTGGCGATCCCGCTGTTCATGAAGTCTCCCAAGCACATGATCCGGACGGACGGGACGCGCGTGCAGACGGTGCGCCATCCGTCGTGGCGCGCCGAGTTCTGGAGCCTGTTCGTGGCGCTGAAGACGGACCCGATGATCTTGTTTTTGTTCCCGATGTTCTTCGCGTCCAACTATTTCTACACCTGGCGTGCGTCTCCTCTCTTCCACTTGGGAATTTGGACTGATGTGGGTGCAGAGTTCAACGACTACAACGCGGCGATCTTCGACATCCGCGCGCGCGGGCTGAACAACCTCGTGTACTGGACATCGCAGATCTTCGGCTCGATGTTCATCGGGTACTGCGTGCTCGATCTCTCCTCGCTGCGACGGCGCACGCGCGCGTTTTTGGGGTGGGCGCTCGTGTTCGGGATGGTGTTCGTCGTGCACGTGTGGGCGTTCTTCTACCAGCGCACGTACACGCGCGCGGGCGAAGCCCAAGTGGGGGTGCACAAGATCGATATTTACGACGCGGGGTATGCGGCGCATGTGTGGCTGATGATATTTTATGGGCTGTTGGATTCGATGTGGCAGACGTATGCGTATTGGCTTATGGGCGCGATGTCGAACGATCCGGCGAAGTTGGCTGTGTTTGCTGGGTTCTGTGCGTCCTCTCTTGGTGTGTTTGATGATGGGGCACGGCTGACGCTGATTCGCGATGGGTAGACAAATCGTTGCAGTCCGCGGGGGCCGCAGGCGTGTGGCGGGCCGACGGTGTTGGGTTGCCGTGAGTAGTGTTTTATTGCTTCTCAAGACCCCTGACTTGAGCATGGAGCTAAACTCGACGCTTGGCTGATTACACTTTCTTCAATGTCGGCTTCTGTGTTGTCGGCGCTGATCGCGGCGCTTGCATTCGTTATTGTGCAGATACATGAGCATCTTCCTCTCGACGTGGTGTCTGTCCGCGGGCGGAATGGTGTGCGCGCTGCCGATGGTGTATCTGCGGGTGAGGGACCGCACGGAGATCGAAGACGAGACGCTGTGAGTGGTTTGTTGTGATTCAGATCGCTGCAGTCTGGATTTCAATGGATGTTTCATTGGGCTGATCGCATCGCCGTGATGGGCTTGGCGTTACAGGATGCAGGTTCCGGGCGCGGAGAAGGTGGAGGGGAGGCCGGCGGTAATGGGAGGACATTGATTGGCGGTTGGATAGTTCATGCCGGTTTGTGTTGGCCCTGGAACGTTGGATGGAGTGTCGTGGAGTGTCGCATAGACCGTGGATATGTCGAGACCGTGTAGGCTATGTTATGACATATACAGATTAGATGAGCACCTTCCTGATTGATGGGAGCCAAGAGTTGTAAGGACTGTGGCGGTCTGGGCGCAACGGGAAGGTTCGCCGGCATTTCGCGGGGGTGGAGGAAGAGTGAATAGAAACGGCTGCGTCCGTAACGGGCCGAGAGAGAAACGTCCGTTGTCGCGGGTACACTCAGATTATCCAAAATCACTTGCTCTCTCCCATTCCCCCCTACACCTTACACCAGCCTTGCCACGTTCACACCCTTTCTCGCGGGCACCTCCGACCGTACACCAGAGGCATGAACGTAAGTAATAGTCCATTCAGTCTCGCCCTATGTCTTGGCCCGACCGCTTCGCCAACTGTTGGCGCGCTTGTTGCCCTACTCGGTGTTCGCCAAGAGCTCTGAACACTGCTCTCCTTGGCTCTCTCAACGCCCATTAAATGTCACTTTTCCTTCTTTTCAGGGCACATTCCACACCTCCAGGGACTATAATACCCAGGTGAGCTGCTCTTTTCTTAGTCCACCCTTCTTTGTTCCGGCTCCCGTCCTTTTCTTCTCCATCCTCTTGCCCTGTCCCCACCACCATGGCCGTGGCGACCGATACGACCTCAGCGCCTACCACACCGGCCAACAAGCGGAGGAGCTGGCTGGGGCGCCGCGGATCACTCAAGGAGCCCAAGCTCAGCGTCCTCACCGAGGGAGTCGCCGTCCACGCCCCGCTCCTTGTCCAGAGCCCCGTGTCCCAGAACCAGCCCGAAACATCCTCGGCCCAGCTTCCCTCACCGCCTCCGACACCTTCCGCGTCTCCCAAGCGCCGATCGATCAACCTCTCCTCCGTCTCCGTCCCCTCTGCCCGCACACGCCGCCCCTCCACAGCCCCTGGCCGCACCACCAGCCGTGACGCTGCCTCGCCCCCCTCCAGCGCACGCTCTACCCTCGGCTTCACCATCCCCTCTATCCCGTCCATGGCCATGCCTCTTTCCGCCGCTCATAAGCGCCACTCCACCACCACTTCTTCTTCCTTTTCAACCCTCTTTTCGTCCAACAGCAACAGCGTGCTCAATCTGACGCCTCCTCCTCCCATGCAGAATCCGGATTCTACTAACGCCGCAAGCACAAGTGCAAGCGCCTCTAATGGCAACGGCAACGGCAACGGTCGGAGCGGGAACGGAAACGACGCACGCTCAACGGGCTCGTTTGGCAAGATGGCGTTCAACTCGATGATGAGCGGCCTCTCGCTCTCCTCGCTCGCGCTCAACCGCTCCATGAACGGCTCCAAAGACAAGGACAAAGATAAAGATAAAGACAAGGATAAAGACTCGGCAGTGATAGATGGAGACGAGCAGCGCGGGCGCACCAAGCGCAAGCCCCGCGCGTCGTCCTTTGTCGGCATGCCCCTGCGCTCTGCCAAGAGCCGCGAGTCGGGCAAGGACAAGGACAACAATGGCGGGGCGAGAGACAGCGACGCCGCGTCGTTCAGCTCTGCCCGCGCGCGCTCGCAGTCCCCGTTCAGCCTGCGGCGCTTCCGCTCGCGCGAGCCCTCGCCCGCGCCGCTCCCGCTCGAGAACGACGCGTCGGACTCGGAGAGCCTGTCGAGCACGACGCGCAACGTGCGCCCGCGCAACGCGTTTACATCCTCCAGCGTGAGCGGGCGGGACGAGGACGAGGACGAACACAGCGATTATTATTATACGGACGACGACGACGACGACGCGGACGACTCGGACTCGTTCGACCAGGTCACGGAGGCGAACACGGAGCGCAACGCGCTGCTGCAGCCGTCGGAGGGCATGCTCGGGCTCCTCGCGGCGGGCGCGGACGCGGACGGGGACGGGGACGTCGATCCCGACGCGGACGTGGCGGATCCGCTCGGCGAGGGCGTGAACGTCGTTGTGCCGCCGGAGCCGTACTTTCCCAGCACGCTGAACCGCACGAGCAGCGCGGTAAGGCGCGGGTCGAAGGGGGGCGGGCAGCCGAAGAGGAGGAGGAGCAGGCATCATGAGACGTTGCCGCTGAATACGAGTCGGCCGATTTTCGAGAGGGATCGGTGTACGATTACGCTTACGCAGGGTGTGAGATCTGGGTCTGGATCTGGGTCCGGGGTGGGGTCGGCGCCGGGGTCGCCGACGACGCCGACGCGCGCGGGGATGATGGAGAATGGGAGTAGTGAGGGGACGGTGGTGCAGAGGCGGGCGAGGCGGTATGTGGTTGCGAGCGATCTGAGCGAGGAGAGCCGGTATGCGGTCGAGTGGGGGATCGGGACTGTGTTGAGAGATGGGGACGAGATGTTGATTGTGACTGTTGTCGAGAATGAGAATAAGAGTGCGTTCTTTTTCTTTTCTTTCGGCGACTGGGCTGGGCTGACGAATTTCTTGGAATTTGCAGTCGACCCGCCGACTCCTAATCCCGCCGAGCGGACGATGAAGCTGAGATGTCAGCAGGAGGTACGCTGTCCTTCGCCTCGCCTCGCCATCGCCGTCCTGATCTTCGCGTTTTCGCACAGCGCCAGGGCCTCGCATACATCCTCGTCCGGCAGGCGACGTCGCTCCTGCAGCGCACGAAGCTGAGCGTGACGGTCGCGTGCCAGGCGTGGCACGCCAAGAACGCGCGGCACATGCTGCTCGACATTGTCGACTACAACAATCCAGCGATGCTCATCGTCGGCTCGCGCGGGCTGGGGCAGCTCAAGGGGTGCGTCTCTTGCGCTCTATCATATATCACAAACTGTGCCCGAACTGACGATTTCACTCTCCCGGTCACGCAGAATCCTGCTCGGCTCGACATCGCACTACCTCATCCAGCGCTGCTCGGTGCCCGTGATGGTCGCGCGCCGACGACTCAAGCGGCCCCCGCGGCGCTCTGCGCATCTCGCGAAGCACCGTACACATGTGTCGCTCGCGGAGGCGGGTATCGACCGTGTTGCTGCGAAGGTGGACCACGATGTGGCTGTGATGCGCGACGAGATGGCAAGGGAGGACGAGAGAAGGGGGGAGCCGGGGGAAGTGCAGGCGGCTGCGAGCCGGGCGATTATGGAGGGCGAGGAGGAGGAGGAGGAAGAGGGAAATGGGGATGGGGCGGGAGCGGGGAGAGCGGGGAGGCAGAAGGAGGGTGCGGGGGATGCGGGTGAGGGGGAGGGGTATTTGGGGACGAAGGTGAGGGGGACGTGAGTGCGTGTTCGTTTGTTGAGCGCCACTTGCTTGATGAGCGCGATCTTGGTTTTGGAGCAATTCCCGGATCCTTGCTTTCTTTCTCGCTCATCCCCATTCCCGTGTTACCGTGTTGTGATATCACGCATCGTATGTTGCATGCATCCCCATCCCGCCCCTATCTCGGCTGGTGTGCTCGTTCCCCCACTTTCCCATCCCCCATTCCTTCCACTGTTGCTTTCGTCTCGTCGTTTACTCACTATAATCACCCCCGCCCCCAGTATACTCATTAAACCTCGTGATATCTCGTATCCCCGTATCTCTCGCTACTACTAGTATCAGCTACAGCTACCCATCCACTATCCCCCCACCCCAACACAAGGACAGATTGGTTTGAATCTACATGGTTAATATATTGTTATTGGTTTTATGGTTTTGTCGTGCTTTGGGTGCTCGTTGTCTGGTTACTCGTTGCGGGGAGGATGATGGGTCTTGTGAGAGCTGAGTACGAGTGGCTGAGTACTTTGAGTGATATTGCAGGTGGGGACGGGTACTTTCGGTGCAGCCTCTGGCGAGACGCGTCTACCAGATCCGGGAGGACTTGTGTGTGAGGTCCGTTGGTAATTGTACCTAGGGTGAAACTTTGTTCGAGTTGGTATGCGTACGCGTGTTCGAGTGTATGCCGTACGAGCATCACTAAATGGGCGGACCGAATATAAGTACATGAGCAGTAGTAGAATCAGTTATAACTACAACCATACCTTAGTGATATTTCGAATCTCCAGCATGAGTGGAGCGTAAAGTCCGTTTTTAACATATGGGAAATCCGACCAAAATTAGATGGTGAAATGGTCAGATCACGGATGATATTATAATATTGATGGCTGTCTTACCGCTGATGGTGCCTGCATGATAATTACATGATAAGATCGGCTGGTGTTTTATGCCGTATGATAAAAGCTCACACCATATGATGAGGACTCGCAATCTCGCCCATGATTCCAATGACAAGACATTCATTGTGAATATTATATAGTACATCATGTAGCATTATTCGAGGTTAAAACGATGAACGAGGTAGTAAATACACGAGAGCAGCAGCAATTCACGAGAGCAGTAGACG